AGAGACCATACTAGGAGAGAAGTTATCAGTCATTTGTTGCAAAATGGAAGGATGTATTGCACATACGCTAGAGCAATCTTGAAAAAAAGACAAAAGCTGAGCAAAAATTATAAAGAAAATATAGCTCTTGTTAAAAAAAAAAAAGGCAGGCCTGTTTTGTCTGAAGAAGAAAACAGTGAAGGAAACATGGGACAACTTCATGGCTGTAAAATCTGAAAAAGTAGAGGTGCCACGAGAAAAGGAAACAAAATTTTTCTTCTACAGAAGAAGGGCTTAAACTGAAGCAGGACAGCTCCAGCTTGGATGTTAGGGATTGCCAAGGAAGGTGCGGAATCACTCATGTTGCAGATTTACAAGAGCCTTAGACAAGGACACTCAGGTTTAGGCATAACTCATTCTTTGCTCAGGAAAGTCCATTGCAAGCCTGTTTCCTAAAATTTTGAATTCTAGGTGGAAGCAGATGAACTAACATTTGTAAACAAATTTCTCCAACTCTACTTTGTTTCTAAAATTCAGTTTAAATCCATATATAACTTCCGTCTAAGACAGGTCAAACAACATGTCTCCATGTTTGACTGTCACTGCTTTTGCAAAGACCTAGACTACAGTTTAAATATAAGACTTACAGAAACTTTTAATATATTTATTCCCAGAGTTCAGCTGTGAATCCCTACATTCCTTATTTAGTCATCCATAAATCTATCAGATATTTAACTTTCAAAATCAAATGAAGTCTGGAAGTAAGTAAATACAGAGAAGACACTGAAGTCTGAAATAAATACAGAGGTTCAAAGCAGTTCTCTGAAGGAAATTTTTGTTGGGATGACACTGTTTTTGTATATGCATGAATGTCTTTGTGTTTGCATATGTGTATGTGTGTATAAATACACATTTGCGCATGCAAAAAATGTCCAGATGGGAAAAATAACAAGCTATTGAATAAAATTATGCTTTATATAAATTATGTAGTGAAGGATTTAAAATACTCCCGCTTTCTGAACAATCAAAAAATTGATCTGTATCAAGGTCTCTACATTTGCTGTCTAAGACTGTAGTCAACAACAGCAGCTATCATTTGTCAGGAATGCTTATGGCTAAAAGGTTTAGCATTAATGTAGGATATGTTGAAGGACAATTTGAGTGGCGTACTGACACAAGGTTACTTACACTAAGAACTGAAAAATGAGAAGTTTTACAGCCCTAGTTGTAATTGTGTTGGCCTATTTAAATTGTCATGACTGATTTCTTTACAGGTACTGTGAAACTGAGTTAGCACTCTCTCTCAGAAAGGGTCTGAGACACTAAAAGAACATGGTGCTATTCTTTTGACATTTGTTTACAAAATAATTACCTATACTAGAAGGTAACAATTTAAATGACCAACAAAAGAGAGTTGGTTTAGAAGTGGAACAAGATCAACATTTTTCCACCAATGGAAAAACTGATAAATAAGAGGTAATAAAGGATGTATTGTTGAGAGTGGTAAAGGAAGACAGACTACAATTAATGAAGATGGAATATGTCCCAAAGAGAGGCCCAGCAAACTCAAGTGGTCACAGACACCACTCTCATAGGAGCCCCACCCAAGGCAAGTCTATGTCAGGGTCAAATGACCGTCATATTTTCTTGTAGCAGTTGGTGTCTCTCAGTCTAAGCACTAATTCAGACCCACGCTGCTTTATACAAGAGATCTGGTGAGATTGGAAGGTTATTGCTGCAAGCCCTTTTTAAGTGCTTATCAGGAAAATGCAAAATGACTAAATGCATATAGCTTGGAGGGAGCGGGACTATTAATAGAGCCTCTGCCAACTGATAACAGGCATATGAAGACCCTAAAACAAGTAGACAGAAGAATTATTCCGAACCAAAAGGAGAACATTTCTAAGAATGAGGGAGGGAATCAACCGCAACAACTTAAAATAAATCCTTGGAATATCGGTCTCAACAACCAGATCTAAATTTTGGAAAGGAGCCAGGCCTTTGCTTAAACAATTTAACTAAGATGAACTGGTCATATACCTAAAGGTACTAACATATAATGGTCACTAAAAAGGGAATAAATGACAAACATATTCTCCGTCCCCTAATACCTCATTCTCTGCAAAACGATTTTCATACTTGAAGTCAATATGGTGTGGTCACGCCATGCTCTCCAGTTGGCTATTGTTCTTTATAAATATGTTTGTGCTGCACACTGACTACTGCAGATTAGCTACTGAAAGGACACCTAGTGGAAGTAAATAAGTGTGTCTAAAAACTGCTGGGACTGTTGAAGGTAGTTATAATTGTCACAGGAATTGCTGAACTATTACAGGTTGAATCTGCAATGTAACATATGAATTTATGTGTCAAATAGCACTACTTGTATTTTCTTAAAAATTACAATCAATATTCTTAAAAGTACATTTTAAAACCTGAAATTTACACTTAACTTCCTCAAAACTCAGATAATAGTTTTTTAAACAAAAGATGCACATTACTGCGTATCACAGAAGATTATGCATTTTAATTGTCCTGAATCTCCACTGTATCCATTTTAGGAATATCAGATAGCCAAAAAGAACTCACTACAGATATGTTTTGCTTGATATTCAAGTCAAATTTCATCTTGGGCATCATCATTCCTTGGGTCCTCCATTGTGCCACTCTAAAATATCTTAAGCAATTCCTTCCCTTCTCGTCTTTCTCTCCTATGAAGAGAAACAGCCAAAGAATATAAATTGTACACATTTGAGCTAATTTTACTCTTTTTTTTCTTTGTCCATCCAACTTTATAGTCTTGCTTGTGTTTATCCCAAACCCCTTAATATGTACTAATGCCCTTGTGACCAGGAGATGCCCACATCAGAAAGCTCCATTCCAGATGGAGTCATGCTGGTCTCATGCAGAGAGGGATTATAACCTTCCTGTGTAGTGACATGCTGCCTCTGGGCAAACAGACCAAAATCCACACTTGGTTTTCTTGTTTATGTCAACATATCATATTACAGGCATGGAACAATTTGCTGACCACTGTCCCACTTCGATTATTGTTTTTATGTTCTCTTTTCTAGGTTGCTCATTTCTATTGAATACCAGTTCCTTTGTATTAATTTTCCCTGACTGAATTAGTGCAGATTTACTAGGCTATTTTTCCAGAAATGTTTTTTTATCCAATTTTATAACATCTCTGTATGCCACTGTCGGTTCTCTGTCCTCAGTGTTTATAGCAGCTCCCAGTTTAGTGCCATCCTTTGATTTAAAAAGCCACAAACAAACAATTTTTGCTCTTCTATCCTCTTTCATCACAACAAAGATGGAAACACTGGGATGGATATTTTTTGTTTGCTTTTTTAGGTGACTTCCTACCAAAGTTTTTGCTTAAAAAAACAGATTTTGCTGTATTTCTCTACAACTACAAGAAAGATCGTGATGCCCACGAAGGATATGGCAGCTTCTGCCCTTACCCAAACATTAACAACCCTTCCTCATGCAGCTCTGTTTCCACGGCTCACCTCTTCTCCACTTCACCCATCCGAAGCTCCAGCCTGCTCTCGTCTTAAAATGGCGTGTAGTTTCCTTCCTTTACTATAAACAATGCTAACTGTAACCTTAGTTTCATGATGTAAACATTTAAAAATAAGAATGAAGGGAACACAAACGATGTGTTCAATTAGGTAATTTGGGGATTAAATTAAATGAAATCTCACAAAACATTGAACATGCAACATTTCAGCATAATGAAGTCTGGCTTTGCTTGTTTTCCTTTTATCTCATCCCTTTAAAAAAAGGAGACAATGGATTTGAGAAACTCTGACAGAAGAGCAGTAAAGGCAGATATTATTGCTTGTGAATCTGAAAGAAACCAAAAGTAAAGCTCAGAGGAAGGGACCATAATACTCAAGTATGTGCTCAAAGGCAAAGAGTGGCACTCTGTAAACTGCAGGATGCTGGAGGTTAGGCAACCAACTACCACAGTTGACATGGGAGGCTCCTGCTATCAATGTCAGGTCCTGCAATGTTGTCAGCTTGTAAAATACCCTGCAGCCTGCCAAAGTCTCTTCAACCTGGCATTTCTTTTATACTAAAATATATTTTATAAGTAAGAAACAAACTAATAGATATTATTCTCCAGGCAAAGCCAAAAAATATATATACACTGTGCATAATAAGGAATAGTAACAGGAAGAAGTAGTAAAGAGTAGTAAAGGAAAAATAACGTCCATTAAAAAATACTTCTGTTTATCTCTGCAGTCCACCTGTAAGTTTTGGTCAACTATACTCCTTCAAATGGACTTTTTTTTCTGTTCTAAAAAACAATTCTAGAGACGATTTTCATGGTTAAATCCCTAATCTGGATTTTGCTCTTGTGAACTCTTCAGCAACAGAAGAAACTCAAACTGTCTTCAAATTTGGAAGAATTCTTTTTATGTGCATCTGAAAATTCACATTTGGCTTTCATTGTGTCGTGTGCCAGACAGCTACAAAAACAAAACATAGCCTTGTACAGCTTTAATCAACACTTTAAACTTTGAACCTCTCTTATCCTAAAAGATGGTGATTCTTTTGGCTTTTCAAGCAAGCCCATTTCCTTCTGGCATACAGCAAACACAGGCAATACAGTCGTTGCTTGACTTTCACATCATACTTAACCAGGCATTTTGAAAACGTGTCATTAACAGCATCAAATAGGGAGTTCAAAGTATCTACAGGTATTACATCTATGCCAAGCTTCTTTGCCAATTTAGTGATTTTAAAATTGTGTTTTCCCATTTCCTAAAGCCTACTGAGAAAAGATGGGCGTTATCCCATTATTTCATGAAAAACACAGAAACAGCATAGGAAAAAATGCATGAAACTTTCAGTGCAATATCCCACGCACAAAATAAATTCAACTACAGATTTTTTCCATGTCTTTATCGATATAATACTGCTTGTCACTTTTACTCAGGCTTAGTACAAAGCAACAACAAATTAAAGAGATGCTTTTAATGGGACGTTGATATCTTAAGGAAACCTACCTTGAAAGAAACTTTTGACTCGGAGATAGCTGACACTGAGGCGCAAGACGGAAAGTTTGTCCAGTTTTGATACAATGTCAGGTGGAAAAGGCAGGAGGCTGGCCAGATGGTCCAGTTCCGCATTCAGACGGTCCCTGTGTCTCTTCGAAGGGTTCGATTTTTCATTCCCGACTGCAGGCCTTCTGTGGTGGAGAACACATTTTCGATTACCCGTTTTACTTCCAGGTAGTACAACCAGAGACTGAGATGCTGTATGCAATTAGTTGATAACAGGAATACTCCACTTAGCTTCTATGGAAATCTTTAAAGTTTCTGTCTCCTGCCAAAAAGAGATTTACTATTCTGCATTTGCCGTGGTGCAAAGACATGGACATTGGATTCTCTTTTCACATCTGCCCAGTGAAAAACACATGGTATCTCTTGCTCAGGACCCTCTGACCTTAGGGGAGTGGGTACTCTCTTACTGTTCTGGTCAATACCAGAAAAACAATTTCTCTTCTATGTTGTACAAATAAGGGGCAGACCAGCAGAAGAAAATTACTAATGCATGAACCCATTCAATACCCCACTGTATTCATCCAAAGCATCTTAGTTCCCTCCATGTAATGACTCAAAGTTAACCTGTGGGTCAGTAGATAATTAAGAAAAGAGCCGATCTTTAGACATGATTTTAAAAAGTGTGGGAGGCAAGGTAAAGAGCTGTTCTTTCATCAGGCTCCAAAATCCTGTGTACATTCTCACATTTACCTTCCTACAGCAGAAATAACAGAGATAAGAATTTGGTTTCTCTCTTAAGAATGTTGATATTCCTTGCAAAACATAAAGACCTATGTTACTCAGCTTTCTAGGCCAAGCACTCCTAATTCATCCCCATTTTGTGTTCCTCTCGTGCAATGTACAATAATAGATAACTTAGAAAAGCTGTTGTGAAAATTTGTTAAGATGAAATACATCACAAATGAGGAACCTCAATTTTGGAGTGTCTGCTGATATTCTCACAGAACATGTAATATATTGTTCTCAAGAGGGAGAAGAGGAAAAGCTGATGCACTTGCAAACAGAAATGGGAATATTATTTCCAGCATAACAGTGAGAGGTGCTAGGTGTTGAAGCACAGACTTATCTATTAAACAAGAAGACCTGAGCAGAAATTTGAGAAGGTGGTTCCTTTCAGTAGACAGCTATTGCTGGACCCAGCAGTAGCCAAAAGCCACAGGACAATGGAGCTATAAACTACACTGATCTATGATCTCAGAGGGAGTGCAGCAGCCTCCTATAGTTGACCTGGCATGTCCCAGGAACTTTGGGCTCTGTCAGCTGGACCTCCACTCTGGTAATGCCCTTGTTCAAGTTCTTATTGTAGTACAGAGATGTGTTCCTCCTGAGGTACCTTCTCCTGAATAAGAGACATTGAGAGAAAAATCAGGGAGGGAAGGACGGAAAAATACTTAAGTTTTGGGAATGGTAGACAAGAAAAATATGGTTGTGCTAACAGTTTCCACTTTCACCTCAACAAAGCCAAGGATCATGTTATGTAGCTAGCTGGCACTCCAGTGGAGTATGACAGTAAAACTAATTATTTGTTGCACTTTACTACTGCATTTCCATGCTTCACACGTTTACTGCATTCTTCAATCATAATTTTCATTTTGAGCATTAGTATTTCACAAAGTGGCTAATGTGTTAAATTATAGAAGTATTAATTTATCATAACTGAGATCCTAAAAAATCATGCTTATTAAAAAATCGTGCAATTAGTAAAACAAAAATCAATGTTTTGTATGTGTGATTGCTGCTAATTGAAAACCTCTTAAAGTAAATTAGTTATGAAAAATTCATTACTACTTTTGAGAGCCTCACTTCATTTTAAGAGGACAGCATCAATGGACAGAGTGAATGAAAAAAAATATCTGAGGTAGATGTCAGTGAATATATATCTAATTTCTGGTTTTTCATTCAAAATCGCCAATACTGAAATGTGGCTCTTCAATAACTTAATGAGTTGCTCTCAAAGATATGGAGAAGACTTCATTGATTTGGATCAATGAACAACTTTTCACCACTGGAGAGCAAATTTGCAACAAATAAAGTAATCAACAAAGAATGAATACTTTTTTTTTACTTTTTCTGAGCTAACTATTTTTTGTGGTATACCCTGAAGCTCAGCCATCCTATGACACCAGAATGATGTCTGACCTGTGAGAGCAGTAATATTGTGGGAAAATATCTACAGCTGAGCAGAAACTAAAGCACATAAGTTTTTGCTAATTGGTCTTTATGTCTGACAAACCAGCTGAAGCAAGGAAGCAATTTAGGACAGAAAAAATTAATTTTAATAAGGAAAATTAAACTGATGAGTTCTAAAGGTAAAAATCTTCAAGAATAACATGGGATAGAAATAGAAGTTGTTCAAGCCTACTTATCGCATAAAATAGTGACTGCTTTATGCCAGAGAGGAATGGTTTGAGGCAATTAGGTGGGCTGCCTTTGTACTGCCTGAAAGAAATAGTTTTCTGGAGGCTGCAGGGAATGGTGTAAAAAGACCACGGGAGAAAGTTCAGGACAAAGTCTTCCTGAAAACTCAAGGAAATGATTCAGTAAGGGAGTGAATCCAAACAAACAGGGGTTTGATGTAAATTGTAATTAGGTGCCAAGTGGATGCAATTTAAAACAATGCCAGTGAGTTCCATGCAAAGGCTAGCTTAGCTTAGCTAGCCATAAACAGAAAGGGACAAGCAGGGACATTTTTCAGTGGGCTGCTTTGAGGCAAATGGAAATTCTGGCCTTTATTTTGGGCTGAAAGTAGATGGTGCTTGTTGTGTTTGTGTTAAACTCAGGATTGTAAAACTGTAAACAGAGATGTAGCACTCACTCCGATATCTCATTTACTCTGCTTTCCATACAACACTACTGCAGTAGAGTAGCACATGTAATTAAAAAAACAAAGCTGGCTTTCCCTTCCTTGCATTGTTAAAACGCCTAAATCCTGCCCTGCAGTAACAAGTACTTGTACCTGCACAGAACGCACACTACCAGTCCCCGTGTGGTGGGAGCTGAGTGCAGCAGCTGGTGCAGAGGACATTTTCTGTTTCGGTGGTACACGAGGCATTGAGCCATTTGCGCATTAATGATTCAGTGTGCCCATGACACACAGACCGCCACTAGTGTAAACCAGTTTGGTGAGCTTGCAGAGGAATTTCCTGCAACTGCAGCTCTGTCTGCTGCTCCCTACCCTCTGCGGGAGCCCTGCCCTGTTAATGAAAAGTTCACTCTCATTAAGTTTTTTAAGTATGCCTAAGTGTTAAACCTGCAGATTATCTGAAATGAGAAAAATCTAACCATTTACTGTGACAGCATGGTTTTAGTAAGAAAGGAAAGGGAAGAGAGAGACCAGGAAATGCAACAGATAGGCTAAATGCAAAGTAACAGCAAGATGGTGATCATGAACATAGTGACCAGCACCCACAGCCACCGAGCTGTGCTTTTGTACATTGCATAGAAATCCTTGCAGAGTTGAGCTCCAGTGCCAGCTGTATATGTGCAGGTGATCACCATCTCCTACGAACCAAAAGGACTGAATGAGAGAAAGCTGTTCGAGGGAAAGGGGGCCCTTTGCCTCCTTCTATCTCTTCTGCCTCTTCACAGTAAGGAAAGACAGAACTAATGGTCAAGAAGATGCCACACTGGCAGAGCAGATGAGAGGTGGAATAGTGTGATACCAAGTAAGAGGAAGGGCTATGCCACAGAGGACCTTAAAATGAGAACTAGGAAGCTGGAGAAAGCTGCACCTCCCAAAGTCTCTGTTTACCCTGTCACAGGTATGGTTCTGACTGAAGTGGGCAGTATGGACCAGTTATAGATACACTCAGAGCTTAGGCAGCTATAGCTTGCCTTTAAAGAGCCATAAAATATCACAAGAAAGGTTTTGTGGAGGAAGAGGGTTTCATAAGATGCCAGAGTTTGAGATGAAGAAGTGGCTGAGGTTCCCAAATGGGAACTGTCCTGAAGCATTGCCTTAGCATTTCTAAGTACTAATTTCAGCACAGTGATTTTAGCTTGAGGTTAAAACACAAGATCTCTTTAATTTCCAGATGCTTGAATTACCAGTAAAATGTTAGATTTCCACAGGAAATAAACACTTGGTAGAGAATGTTTCCTTTAGTCAAAATGCCGGCTGTCTGGCTGAAAGGCATATCTTATGGAAAATTTTTCAATCAGTCTGACCTCCAGGTGTTTGAACCGTGTCCATAAAAACCAAAATTCTTTAGTGTAGACCACATCTAATGGGGCTCATTTGGAAGTTTTCTGGGACAAAAGGAGAACAGTTAGGGTTTTTAATTTATTTGCATGTGTAAAAGTAGAACTTGAACCTGAGGTATTGTCTGAAGAATGGCAACCTAATGAAGATAGTTCTGCTAGTTCTGTCTAGAGAAGAGAAACATTTTAGTTCCTCTCAGTAAAACCAATTTTCCACACATTCTGCCTGAGTCTTGTGGGTCTCTGCATTCTCTCATGGAACTTCTTCATACATTTTCATCACTGTTCTGTAAAACTACCTCAGAATAGAATTTCTGTGCCTGAAAAATATTAATGAACATAATGAAAAATATCATTCTGTGATATCCTGGATTAAAAACCAGCTGCAGGATCACCACCTAGATTGATCACAAAAAGTTGATGTAGAGTTAGAGAGACAGCCTTATGGGATGCACTGTGTATGGGTAAATATAAACATCCCACTTGTTCTGCAGAAGGGAGAGCTGCATCTCTGTCTTTTAAATCCTGACCTTTGAAAGGACTCATCCATGGATCCCTACTAAGATCCAAGTATCTTGCTCAGACTGAGACACCTGAGCTCACTTATTCCTGTGTTAAGAGACAGTTAAATTCTAGAGATTATTCATGTTAAAAAGAGAGGAATCATCACTAGGACTGGCCAAAGAATATCCATACACTTTCGTTCCTGTGAAAAATTAGGTTTTACAACTGAACAATACTCATCCCAAAGCAGGTGGCTATATCTGCTTTGATTCATTATTAGAATGACAGAGGGTAAGTAGAACAAGGCTGAGGAGAATGTGCTGTGCTATGAAATCAAACAGGAGAAAAAAGTTGTAACAAAGATGGTATGACATGAATCAAAACCATGGTTAAATATGCTGCTCAATTAATAGTTTTCATCTACTCTTCTCATCATCATGGCCGGGCTTCGCGATTGAAGATTTGAGGAGGGCTCTATCCACGTTTGTTACAAGTGCACTGGTGGCTAAAGAGGCCAATACGAGACAGGCACATCTGGTTTCAAAAGGCACAGCAGAAAGACTCCTTAGGTGGTATATTCTGCAAGGCATGATTCTTTCTGCGTTGTCTTTTCTCCTCAAGAGTGATCCTGCGTGTGTTCTCAAAGGAAGCAGCAGCGTTATAGATGGTGTGTCTCCAGACTTCCCGATTGGAGGCCAGAGTAGACCAGTTATGTTGATCAATATGGCCAAGGCTGAGATGTTGTTTCAGGGAGTCCTTGTATTTCCTCTTCGGGGCTCCTCTCTTGCAGCAGCCGGTGGCAAGTTCACCATAAAGCAGGATCTTAGGGAGGCAGTGGTCCTTCATCCTTGAGACGTGTCCTGCCCAGCGCAGCTGTGTTCTCAGCAACTTAAGGCAGCGTAACAGTAAGGATATCTTGGAGTCCTGAGATGTTATTAAAACCAGTAGGACTGAAGGACATAGACTGCAAAAGGAGCTCTGTTTGCCAGTCTGTCTGGGGCATTCAGAGCCTCTTTAGATGAAAATAAGTCCCTGAGTGAGGGAATAAGCACAGGAAAGGCTTACCAGAGACTAAGCCCACAAACAGATAAGGTTTGAGGAAGAGAGCAGTGTCGCTAGGAACTGAGAAATCATCCTCAGCAAGTGGTAACTAACCACAGAAAACAGACTGCTGTTTCCAGTGTGGGAGCTCAGTACTCTAATAATCCAAATATTTTCCTTTGTTTTAACCAAGACCATGTTTCTTAATCAAAAGCTCATGCTCAGGTACCTGCACTGCAATGTCATAGCAAAGCTATTTTCAAGGTAGCATTACTTGCAGTGGTTCCCAAGAGAGAAACTTGGTTCTGTCAAAGTGAGTGAGAATTTGCTTCTGAGTTTATTGAAGTCAGAACTTCAAAAAAGGCTAATGAGGTCATTTCTGTCATTTTTTAGCAGTTAGTTTTCTTAGTCATTGCACTTATCTAGAAGTCATCTTCAAGAGAAGTTCTAGCTAGATGTAAACTCCAAACATAAATCTGAATGTTTACCAAAGCAACTGCAACTTTCCTTCCTTACAAAAGTAATGATCCATAAACAGTTTTCACAGAGGTAATTTCATGTACTGAAGTGGTTCCACACCTCATGCAGTTGTTATAAAATTAAATATCCATGTCCATATTTAAGAGTAGTGCAGAAATCTTACATACATTTTGGATTCAACACTCAGGATTTTTGTAGGAAGAATTCTTTCCTTATGTCATTATCTTTATCTATTGAAATTGTCACCTATGATATATTTTGCAATAAAAGAAATATTTTTTTTAATTTGGAAGAAGTGGTTCATGAGCAAATACTGCCCAAAATCCAAACAATATCAACAGATGTCATTAAAACATTCAGAGAAACTCCTCTTTGACTTCAGACCAATATATACAATTTTAAGCCAAGTGGGTTATTTTTAGAAGTTCTGAACAACCGAAAATAGGGAAATCTATTTTAGTTACCTTCTCATCCTTAAATTGTCTGTGAAGGCCACCAGCGCCAGTTCATAATTGTAACACAGTAAAATCGTGTGTTTTGTAATCATAGAATCAAGTGTAACACAGAAGATGTGGGATGATTATACTAAAAGCTTCATTTCACAGAGCGGTTTATGGCATCTGGAAATCATTTTACATTTGAGTGATAGCAACCTTTTTTCCCCTCCCATTTCAAGCATCTTGTAGTAACAAATTCCCATTGCATTTTTTCTTCTTCTGCTTTGCCTTCACACATGCAATTTCTGTCTCCCATTTTTTTCTCATGAAAGTGATCCCATAGTAAATAGTGGTTTGAAAATTATGTGTTCTTTATGCAAAAAGTGAATCACAAGTCTGCTCTTTCAGTTGGCTGAACTGACCCACTTTCTGGGCTCACACATTTTGGACTTAGCGATGCCCCAAGCAAGGCTAAGCCAAGGAAAAGGGAAGGGGGGAGCGCAGTACCAGCACACTGGTGCCACTTGACACACTGCTTCTCAGAAAGCTCCTCGAACAGGCTGCAGGGAGCACAGATGTACAAAGGTGGCAGCCACCTCTCCAGCCCATTGCCCAGCTGACATTTAGTCCACCGGTATCTTCTGCCTGTGAAAAAGCACTCCCTCTGCACTCCTCACAGCAGTGTGTTCTGCAGTGCACTGCAGTACACACCATAACCAACACTGGCCTCCTCCTGGCATACCCACTGATGGGTGAGGATGGTTGGACCCATGCTTGGCATCCTTTCTGGAGACAGTCCTAATGATGAAGAGCCAGCCTCCCAGGCAAGGGTTTCTCACTGGAGAGAATAAGACTAGGTCTATCCTGCATCTGCAGACCATAGGAGGAAGGGAACCCTTCCTCTACCTCATTTCTAGCACAAACATTTGCAGGGAGATGCCCCCGATGAATAGATACTTAACTGTTTCTGAATGGGTTTCCTCCTTTTTCTCCCAGCGTATAGGCATTCCCCTGGAGGAATCATTGTTCTGACACTGAAAAACAAAAGGAATAAGTTTCTTAGTTTAGAGGTTTCTGTGTTTCATCATCATGGCTAGGCTTCACCAATGAAGATTTGGGAATGTGTTTCATAATGCTGGACAAAATTACTGGACCATGAAAGTTCAACCAAGGAAAATGTTTGTTCCTTGAGTGTGACATTCAACAACACTAAGAAGCATGGTGGCATTAGTTAAGATAGAAGCTTAAGGCTAATTCCAATTTCCTACCCTAATAATATTAGAATATTGATGTTTATATTCGATTTTCATTTTTTCAAATTAAGCATACTACGCATGATATAAAATGGGTATAAAATACATCCTGCTTACTGGATGTCCAAACTTTTTTTCCCTTCCAGGCTCATTTTTAAATTCAGCTAAACAAATAAGAATGATTAATACTACCCGTCATCTGCAGGGACAATTTCACAGCTTTTAAAATACACTGGGATTTTCTCTCCGTTACTGACATTGTAAGTAGTAGGATGCAATTATTCAAATCAGCATTTTTCCAGGTTCTCAGATCCTCACTTTTAAAGACTGGAAATATGTCTGTCGGCAGCTCAAGATGTGACACACACTGTTGTGGTTAGCACTAGGACCCAGGGCAGTGCTGATGGAGGTGACAGTTTTCAGACAAAAGTTAGCCTTATTATTGATCTATTTGAGCATGCTAGCCTTAGAGACATTGCAAGTTCAGAAACAAGTTTTTGCATTCAGTCTGTTTAAATCTTCTGGAGATTAGCTGAATATTGAAGTCTCTTGATTTTCTGTCTGAAAGAATATTTTAGTCATGCTGAGTGCTGTTCAACAGTGGGTTCAGGCTACCAGAGAGGTTAGTGTATCTCAAGATAGCTCAAGAGTAATTGCTGCTTTGTGTGAGATGTAAAATTAAGGGGATCTTCTATGTCACTTAATCAATCCCATGCTGCTGAAGACAGATCTATCATGTAATGCAAATCATAAACTTACTGAACTTGATTTAAAAACTGTTTAGAAGAGCCTTCTTTTTCATTGAAGGGCAGCTTTCTAATACCTAGAAACCTTTCGTCTTCCAGCTTAAATTTGTTCATGGTCATTTTATGCCCATTTGTTCTTCTGCCAACATTGTCTTTTAGTTTAAACAGCTCTTCCTCCTCCATTGTGTTTACTCATTGGCATATTTTTAAATATCAGTCATATCTTCAGTCAGCCTTCGTTTTTCTATTCTGGGACAACGAAAACTGTTTTATTTCCCTCTCATGTTACAAACTCTTTATTCTTCCTATCATCTTAGGAGTCTTTGTTTTCTCATTTCAGTCAATCTGTCTAAAACATGGATAAACAGGACCATGCACAGTATATTAAGTTAAATCTAAAAGTATTTCATACATGCATATACATATATATAGAGAGAGAGTAATTGACAAATCACTTATTCTTTATGGGAATTATCTCACTTGATATTTGTGCGCCTACATTTTCCTTTTCCATAGCCATTACCAAATTCATGGCTCACAGTCACCCTGTAGTCATCTAATATACAGAGTCCACCTTCATGTATAATTTCCAACAAATAAATGCACAGTTTAAGGAGGAAATGGGCTCGGGTGCCTAGCCATCCCAATCGTACAATTAATCTCCAGTTTATTTTTTGCTGTGTGAGAATTGTGTCCACTTTTGTGTTGATGGCACAGGCAACAGACCTTGAGATTGGCTTAGCTGGTCAGAGCATGGTGCTAATAGCATCAAGGTCATGGGTTTGATCCCTGTACGGCCCATTTACTTGAAAGTTGGACTTGATCTTTGTGGGTCCCTTCTAACTCAGAACATTCTGTGAAACGAAGTTTATAGGTACACATCTGGTTTAACATGAAATGTCTTAGTAAAAGTGCAACTGTCTCCAAACTGATAGCTGATGAACTCTGCTGTTAGTTTCCCTCCTGATCAGTTGTTTTCCTTTCAGCACAGGCTGTTCACCCAGTTCCTTCCCCCGACCCTTCAATTCATTACTAGTAGTCAGCAGCACAGCATCCTTCTCTAAATTGAGATAGCTAAGGTCTACTCTATTTCCCTCATCTAGAAAATCAATTATTGTGTCAACAAATAGCTATCAGGCTACTACGTCAAAATCATTTAAATCTACATTCCATTTTTACTCCATTACACAACTAACCACAGCTGTTAATGGTTCTTTCCTTGAGAATTCATTCTGAAATGATGCATAATACAGATATCAGACAATTTGCCTTCTCTCAGTTGTAGCTTATGGTGGAAACACCAGTCATTCTCCAGTTGGTGCAGTATCAGGGATAAAGTTCTTTCAGAAATAAACAAAACTACTTTTTTCACTATTACTGAAATTATTTCATGTGACATCAGATTGGTGAACCTCCTGTCTGAAGTCAATGACAGATATGATACAGTGCAATAAATGTTGTTCCAGGTTAAGAAAGTTTTATCCCATGGACTTTGCTAGTCTAATCTGCTAGCTCTTTTTTTTCCCAATAGTCTGACAGTTTTTAAGATTGCATCTACCCTCATGGATTTCTTACTTCAGTGGGAAGCTAAAATGGTGTGAAGATGCCAAAAGAATTGATTCTGTTCCTTGTGAGACCTTACATGAAAAGGTATTTTCTTTGTATTTTTGGTGAATTGAAACTGTCTGGATGTGAGGTACCCACCAAAACTACTCTATCACTTCCCTCCTCAGCAGCACAAAGGAGAGAAAATATAACAGAAGGCTTGTGGGTTGAGATCAGGACAGGCAGAGATCACTCACCAGTTACCTTCATGGGCAAAACAGACTCACCTTGGGGAAATTAGTTTAATTTCTTACCAACCAAACCAGAGCAGGGTAATGACAAATAACCCCAAATCTCAAAATTACCTTCCCCCCACCCTTCCCTTCTTCCTGGGCTCAACTTCATTCCCTATTTTCTCTACCTCCTCCCTCCGCAGTGGCAGAGGGGGATGGGAATGGGGGTTGTGGTCACTTCATCACACTCTGTCTCTGCCTTCTTCCTCCCATGAACTTCTCCAGCGTAAGTCCTTCCCATGGGCTGCAGTTCTCCATGGACTGCTCCAGCATGGGTCCCTCCCATGGGGTACAGTCCTTCAGGAACAGGCTGCTCCAATATGGGTCCTCTGCAGGATCACAAGTCCTGCCAACAAACCTGCTCCAGCGTGGGCTCCTTGCTCCAGAGGTCCTGTTATGAACCAGCTCCAGTGAAGGCTTCCCGTGGTGTCACAGCCTCCTTCACCTCCTCCAGAGTGGGGTCCTCTGTAGGCTGCAGGGGTACAGCCTGCCTCACCATGGTCTTCAACATCAGCTGCAGGGGAATCTCTGCCCCAGCACCTGGAACATCTCCTGTCCCTCCTTCTTCACCGACCATGGTGTCTGCAGGGCCGTTACTCTCACATATTCTTGTTCCTCTCTCTGACTGCTGTTGCGGCTGTGCTGGTTTTTCCCCCTTCTTAAATACGTTATCCCAGAGGTGCTGCCATTGTTGCTGATGTGCTGGGCCTTGGCCAGCACTGGGGCTGTCTTGGACCTGTCAGACACGGGGAAAGCTTCTGGAAGCTTCTCACAGAAGCCACCTGTGTAGACCCCCACTACCAAAACCTTGCCACACAAACTCAACACAATATTGTAATACTTTCGTGTTCTGAGTCCTTCCTGTCCATAATATCAGTCTATGAATCATAGTTCTTGTTTCAAAACAGTGTCACATGCTAGACTTCCCTTCTCTTGCCTTTATGAGCAAAATTAAAAGGAGGGGAAAGGCTTGGAAAGCATAATTCAACTGAAAACTGAAAATTAAGAGTTCATTTGATTTCCCAAAAGGGCCACTTAGTTTTAAACTCCATTCTGGGTGAGTTTATTAATATATGACAGCGAATAGAAATAAATACAAAGACCTCAGTATTCAAACTGAAAACCAGGAAATAAATAACAAACAATATGAGTTAGAATTTATGATGTGCAAAATGCTGGTTAGGAAAGATAAAGGCCCAAAGGAAAATTCACAAGTTGCATCACTAAAGACAAAAGCTAGTGTGCTTTTTAGAAGAATATTATAAAGAAAATAATTCTAAAAAATGTGTACAGTTCTTATTGGATGGAGATGGCTCTATGTTAGATCTACATAAAAGGTAAGAGGATATATCAATAGATTTTCTTCTAGTCTCTGAAACAAAGGAGAATCATGAACTCCCATCAAACAAGAATAAACCATGCACTCTTCAGGCTTTCAACAGGGACTTTCTACAGAATTAGGACAAGGGGTTACCACAGCAACTTGGTACGAAGCACTGCCCCAGCTACTGAACACCAATGTCCTAGATACACATACAGCCAAGAGGTGCTTCTGCTACCACCACTAACGCCAGTAGTGGCACGCAGTTAAAATGAGTCTGAGGATGCACATATGGGAACAAAGTCAGAAGGTTCATGGCAAATGGTCCTAAAAATACATCTGAAAACAGCACTTGAATTTGTTGAGCTGCACAGATCCATAAACCAAGAAAACATATATTTTATAAACTGGAGAAGAGCATGTATTCACTGTCCTACCTGGACACCTTTTCTGATCACCTGTGAGCTCTGCTCTCCACCAGTAGGACAGAACAGCCCATCTCCACCACTGGAGGAGGCTGGGGGCTCCTTCCCCTGCCATCCCACTGGTCTCACATGTGAATGAGAAACAGGAAGAAGTTGGGTGGACGGCACTCAGCTGCTCAGAACAATTGTGCTCTTTTCATTTTCTTTCTCCCTTTAACACTTGCGAGTTCTCACATTGTGTCCATGTGTTTGAGGCAGGATGAAGAAGAACCCAAAGCAGCAACCTCCCACCACTCCAGCAGCAGGAAAAGGGGCTTACAAGCTTGAGGAGCTTCAGGAGGAGGAAAGGGCAGATGTGGGCCATGATCATTCACTTTTGTCAGATGCTTCTAATCACTGCTGACATTAATCTCTGAACGCTGGAGAAAACCAAAGGACTGA